CAGTGGGATTGTATAAACCCGAACGTGCATCTGGATGGGATTATGAGTTATGAGTCTTTGTGCGTGTAAGTCAGGGTGACTTAATGCTAATGTAATAGAACGAGCTCCCGTTTTGATTATGACTGTCGTATGACGGACGAAAGCCCATTCTACTTTTACCTAATTCAAAGGGTGGTATCTTTTGGACTGCGTCGGTCTAAACGTAGTAGTAAAACCAAATTACTTCTAACAAAGGGAATCAACCATCGTCTTCTAATGAGATCGACCTACGAATCCTTTGGTAAAGCACTTCTATATTAAATGAAAATTTCCACAACAAAATCCGTATTCCTTCCTAATTTTATTTGTTTACTGTCACTGTTATAGGCGTATCTGGGGTACATACACAGCACGTCACCATGACAGCTAGCAGGCGTGTCGAGGTGGTCGGCATCGGACCGTTGGGGGTAACAAGACATGAGCTCACTTCGGGCGACTTGCTGGCCGCCTGGCGGTTAAGTGAGATACAGGCCTGGCACATCAACTGGGAGCTTGGTGAGCTAATTTTGATTTTGGCTCCGGCTCCTACACTGGCTCCTTTGAACACAGATGCTGCAGAAAATATGGTGTCGTGTGCTAAGGGTGAGTATAGAATAGGACATTTTCATGGCTTTTAGTTAAATTATTCATTCTGTAGTGAGGCCTCACTTAAACTTCCGTGACAGAGCTGTAAACTATGAATTTAGATACTCATGACTCCCTAATAAACTTTTATTGACCCCTTACATGATAACCTGATTATTGATATTTCATCAGTATCAACAAACTCAACTCAACAATATTGCTGCTTGCGAAGTGAAGGATACATCATTCGCGCCTATCGAGGGTTTTAATACTTTTTCTTAAACTTATTGTTATCTTCGAACTAAAGCTTGACATTCGAGGACCTCAAATTCACAGTATTTATTTCGAAGGTATGAAGACCAAGATGGTGTGGCCTTTTGTGTGGTCGCAGTCTCCTTTCGTTGTATA